GCCTGCGCTCGGTGTCCGCGTCCGGCCCGCACCGCTACGCGTGGAGGCGCCGCATTGTTCCTCGGAGGAGGCGGCCGAGCCGCGGCTGGGCGGCCGGGGAGCGGCGGCCGCGCGTACTCGGCGCGCCGGTGCCACCTGGTGGTCACGGTCCTGCGGCGCGCCCCGCAGCCCGGGAAAGGAGCAGGGTGTGGGCGTTCAGGCGGGACAGGTCTGGAGCGGCACCCCGGCCGAGGACCGAGGTGGTTCGACTCCTGCAGGGCGTGGGGGAGGTTGGCGAAAGGAAGAGACCCCTCCTTTCCACGCCCTCCGGCTGCCGCAACAGCAACCCTGGGCTTCTCACTGGCCCCTGAACACCTGCTCTGACCTCGCTTTGCAACACTGACGCGTCCTCTCCCCACCCGCCCCCTCCAGAAACTCCTGGGGTAAGGCGGGGAGGGGCGGGTTTTGCTTACTGATCTGAGTCCAAAGTCGGCCTGTGGCGCCAGGCCCTTCCACAGAGCCCAGAAGTGGGGGCACACGGGGGGTGGGTTTTGGGAGCACTGAGGAGGCGTGGGAGAGGGCCTGGGTCCTGCTCTCCCATTCTGCACTAAACAGTATATGACGCACTTAAGTCCCGGGGGGCCCCTGGGCCTCGGTTTCTCCACTATAGAAAGAGAGTGAGCAGAGGCTCTTGAACCACCGTCTAACTCTGAAAAGTGTAGAATTCAGGTTTCTGGCCTCTCCATGTCGTCCACCCCGTACACACACACACACACACACACACACACACTTCTTGACTTTGGAGATGATTTGCACTGCCTGGACAGAAGCTCCAGTGATCACCAGGGCGGGACTCTCCAACCCCGGACAGCACCCCCAGGCCGGATCTGAGGAAGAGCTTGGCTCTCCCAAAAGCCATCCTTGGGCCACGTGCAGACCTCGGTGCCCCACACTGGGAAGACCCCAAAGGCTCTTGTAAAGTGATGACAGGACCATGGCCCTGAGGGTGTCTGCCTGCCAGGCAGCGACTCCCCAGCCCAGTGAAGGACGGAAAAACTTCTGCTTCCCAGGTCCCACCCTGTTCCTTCCAACCCCACCCCCCGCCCCTCCCAGACAATTCTGAGGGTGGGAGGGGCTGCCTTTCCTGCTCCTGCTTCTGCATCAAACCCACCTGTCCTGTGTTCCGTGACCTCATCACCCTGCCCTCTGCTAACTTGTAAACGCGTGATGAATTGGTCTTGGCCAGGCTCATGTGTTACTCCAGCTAGGTAGCAAATTTGCATTTAACAAGGACATGCTGACCTCAGCAGCACAGTTTGTGATGAGAAACTCAGGCATCTTGGAGGAGTGGGTGGGTGAAGGCCATATTTGAGGGCAGGGGTCTTCAGCTGTGCCTGTAAATCACTCCTAGTGCCTGGGTGCCCACTTCTGCCACCAATCTAGACATTTAATCGCTGGGTCTCAAGGCCAAAGCCACATCCAGACGAAGAGATGAAATGGTCTCTGCAGTGGCGTGTCTCTTGTGGAAGCTCAAGGAGGTGCGCTGAGGCTGGGCTGGCACTGGAGGCCAAAGCTTCTGCAGAGCGGACTCTTGTCTCCCGGCGACCTCATTTGGGTCACCGTGGAACTGGGCTCCACAGCGTTTGCAGGGGCTGAGTTTTTGAAAGCAGACCGTCAAGCCTTTCATCCGAGGCGTCTCTGTGTGGACTCCAACCTCCACCCGTTTTCCGTGAGCCACAGAGCTCATTAACCATTCGCTCTGCTCAGGGCCTGGTGTCAGTCATCTGGGGAGGAGACCTTCCAGAATTCAGAAGGTCCTTCTGGACCTCACTGTCTGAGATCTGGACTTCAAGATGGGGAGTGGGGAGATCCCTCTGCCACTTGACCACAGGCTTG